AAATTCGTTACCATTATCATATTTTTGCATGAGTACAGCTCCAAATATTTGATTAAATGCATCTTTTTCTAATATTATCTCGAGGTCTGGTTTATAAAACTGTATAGTATTTTGTTCTGTTACTTTTCCGAATAGCATGAAACGATTACAAAAATAGCACGGTATTTTATTTTGGAATGGCAAATTAATCATTTAGTACTCACTTCAAAAAAGAGTTTTACATATATTGCATACGGGACATCCGGATCTCACTTGAGGAAGAGGATATACTTCAAACGGATATCCTACTTTGGTGGAAACGACAAGAGATTTACCAATATCAAGATTAGCAAGAAAAATATTGGCAATTCCTGCAACTAGTGCTTCTTCTGAACGAGGATTTAGCATTGCTGGAGGGTTTTTAGAACAAAGAAGAACGTGTTTGAATCTAGAAAATGTAGATTCATTATTATTTTTGCATTATAATTACATATAATATCAATTTTATATTTATTTCATAAATATTCTATTTGATCAAATAAATTGTCCATAATTTAAATTAAATATTTTTTTTATACTTTAAATTAATTTCCTAAAACTTTTTGTAAAGGTGTAATGCTGAAATATTTTTATTAGATTTAAAAAATTGAAAGAATGGCCATAATTAAATTTTATAAGCGGACTTGGATTAAATTTTTTTATAAATAATGGGCGGGGGGGGGTAAAAAATTTTAATTGGCGGGCGGGTAAGGAATTTTAGACAAATGGGTGGGGCGGGTATATATTTTTTTGAAAACTATAGGCAGGTTAAATTTTTTTTAAAACATTAGGTGGGCGGGCTTTTTGTCCAAAAACACGCCCAATGCAGGTTTCTAATGCAAAGGTCGTAAGTAATATAGAAAATCATGATTCTGTTGAAACAGTCGCATTGAGCCAATAATACCAAACAATTTGCCAAATATCTCAAAAAAATGGTACTTCAGGCATCGGATTATCCATAAAGAGTTGTAGCTGAAATGTTTAAAAAAGAAACTGGCCCATGACACATCTGATGCGAATAAAACTGCCAGTCTGGAATGTACCAAATAGCTTCTACAAAATACCCTCAGAGGTTAGTTCATTTCATATGATCAATGGTTGAAAAACTGTTTACAGTAACTCCATCAGTAAATCGTAAAATGATAGGGTGTATGTTGCAGTTTCAAAAAAAAAACAAGTTGCCAATAGATTACTTCGTACTCGTTCAAAAATTTCTAAATCCATCATGGTTCCAAGTCTTACCTGCAGAGAGCTAATCTTTATCAATCAAGGGGTCAAAATTAAAGGTGCACATTATCGTGACCTTCTACCCGATGAGCGGTTATTGTCTGCTATTAAAAAATTGTCGGGCAGTTAATTTTTCATATTCCAACAGGACAGTGCTCCCGCTGACCGAGCCAGAGAAACTGTGGATGTGCTTTCAAGAGAAACTCCAGATCTTATTTCACATACGCTTTGTCCCCTACCCAATAACCCTGATCTTAATCCGGTCAACTACAAGATATGGAGCGTCCTTTAAGAGCGCGTATAACAAACATACATATACGACGTTGACCATCTCAAACAGCGATTTGTGGTGTAATCGTTTTGATAAAGGTATTCTTGATTATGGCGAAATAGCTTTAGATAGTGTTATTATTTGCTTAGTCGTAAAATTTAGGATCCAATTTTATGCTTAAACCTGCTTTGAGCAAAGACCAAATACATAAATATTCCGTAAGATATACCCAGCATTAATTATTATTTATTTTTTGTAAAATAATTTATTTTATTTATATTTAAATATTTTATCATTATCAACAAAAAAACATATATTTGCTACTGTAATATTATTTTGTGTGACAAGAAAAATGGGAGAAGAAAATAAAAACAAGTTTTGGTGCAGAATTTGACGCTGAGTTCGAATCCGATTTCCAAATTTTCCCTACACGTCAAGTTTTAAAAATATTACCGTATAAAGACAACTTTTCGAAATCTCAAAAATGATAAAATTTAGGTCTTTATACGGATATATTTTAAAAAGTATCGAATAAAAATCCCTGAAAATTGGTGATAGTGTTAAACTTATATTTCTTTATAAATTTATTAATTTTTTATCGATTGGTTTTTGAGAAAAATGGTAAAGAATTTCGTTTTGGTGGTCTTAAGTTTCAATTTAAATTACTATCAAAATTATTAACTTTAGAAGATAAATTTTATATAATTTTGCTTCAAATATGCTCAAGATTATATAATAATTCTAATTATGTTTCAAAAGTACTCTATGCCATGAAAATTCAACCAAAATCTATAAATTAAAAAAGTCGGCACAGATATTTTCGAACTTTTTAATTTGTACACTTTTATTGAATTTTCTCTGCATAAAGCATTTTTAAAGCAAAATTAAGGTAATATTTATCTTTTTTAGTTTTATTTAGTAATATTTTATGCATTTATGATCAATTTATATCAAAATCAGAAATCTGTACCCACTTTTTTAATTTGTACTCTTTTTGAATTGAGCATTTTTGAAGCAAAATTCATTTAAAATGCAATAATTGGTAATTTTTTCATATTTTTTATTAATATTTATCTTTTTTAGATGTATTTAAGAATATTTGTTTTTTTAATCAATTTATATCAAAATATATGACTTTCCAATAGAGTACCTTGAACCCGTAGCATGGGCAATAAATAATAATGCCAAATAACGAGTAGGAAGAAAGGAGAATTATTTTTTTTCGCGCTTAATTTTTCATAAAGCGAAGAGAACGAAAGCCACAATAAATAAATATATTAAATGTAAGCTATATTAAAAAAGATTTTATAAATAAAGGTAAATTTAAAAAATATAGGTTGTTTAAAAATTGAGTAAGAATTTTATAAAAAAAAATGTATAATAATAAAGGAAGGTTTGCTGCAAAAATTAAGATATTTTTTTAGTTGTAGGGATCATTAGAACCGGAGTTATAAACCTTCAAAAAGTGCTAAAAATGACCTTTTTGGCCACTTTAACCTAAAATAAATAAAAAAACCTGACGTGCTAGAAAAAAACTGCCAGCGGATTTAGAATATGCATAAAAAACTGTCTTAAAACATGTATATTTTATTTTCTCCCAAAAAATCAAGTCGAAATTTGTCACACAGTGTTATAGTTTTTTTTATTAAGTGGTGGTTTTTTCTAAATAGTTTTTAAAAAAATAATGAAATTTTTTTATATTATCTTATTAAGGGTAATATTTTAATGTAACAATTGCACTTGAAAATCTAAAAGATCATACATCGATCTCATGCGTCTTTGGGATGTGTCACATTTTTCAATTTTTTTTGCTTATTCGAAGATTTTTTCACGAACTTTTCAAATAGAAAAGAAATTTTTTGAAATGATTTTAGAAATAAAAAATCAATCAGGGGATTTTATCAATTTAAAAGAAATAAGCAAATTATATTCTAGATATCAATAAAAGTGTTACGAATACGCAAAATTTTACCTTATTATATTTAGCATGGAAGGTAGGCGGTTTCACCCTAACCGACCTCCCTCTCCGTCTACGGTTGAAACTTACTCTCCGTCTACGGTTGAAACTTAATCTTAATTATATAACAAACATTTTATCAATATATTATAACATTACTTAAAATAAATTTATTTATAATTTACTAAAGTAAATATTATTTATTTAAACATCTACGTTTTTCATTGGGAATATGTTAAGTTTTACTAAACAAAAGAAAGGTGTACTATATTTAATGGTAAAATTTTTCTTAAATTTACAAATATTAATTAATTCAATCATTTGAATAATATTTTTTAAGTGAATTAGCATAAAAAGTACCAAGTTCACCCATATTTAGAGCTTCTATAATATTCTATTTAGCATGATGCTAATCTTGACAATTTTTTATCATTTTGCCAATAATGTATTTATTTTTACCAAACGAGTTAAAGCAATAAAATGTATTAATTATTGATATATGTTTCATAATTAATGTTTCCAGAAGTTTGATTGACTTCAAGCTTAAGACTTTTTTTTGTAACCCCTCTTTTCTCCTTAAAAAAAACTACGCTACCAGTTATATAATTATAAAATTATTCGTGTAGTTATATAATTATAAAATGTTGTTTACAATTGCAATAAATTAACACCATATATAATTTTTTTTTGTTGGTTTATTTTGTATCGGGTATAAATATAATTATGGATTTTATAAAATAAGTAATCCAGATTATAGAAAAAACGCCGCATTGAAAAAATATTTACATTATCCAAAAAGGATTTTTTTAAATTTAAATCCAAATTATTTTAAAATATCTGATTTAATCTAAAGGATAACATGCTTGGTGTAACATGTATTTTGTAAGGGACGTGATGTTGCACCATTTCGCGGTTACTATAATGGCGAGGGAGAATATAAGATTTAAAAAAATTTAATTTCCAAATTTATATATATTTTATTTCTAGGTCTCACTACTCCCTGAAAAATTTGAAGAGCCTCTTCAAAATTTTAAAATTTATTTATATACCAAATGTAATTTTGATGTTGGCTAAAAAAAGAAAATAATTATTTTAGCTTTAAAAAGGGAATTTTGGATGTTAGTTAAAAAATGGTAATTTTGAAAATAATTTTTTGAGCTCCCTGAGATTGTATAGGCTAGTGAGGCCCTTGATTCAAATAGATAAAACCACGAAATTAATTAATATTAAACAATCAAGCTTTAGATAAATATGTTTTATGTAAGGCAATCCAAAGTCGGGTTGGGGCCTAGTAAAATAATTTGGATCGGACATTTAAAAAAAAAGTTAAATAGGGCGGGCTTAAAAAATATAAAAGCTTTTTCTTCTTTTATCACAATAAAATTTCACTATATGGACAAAGCATAGTGATTTATACTTCATATCTCATCAAAATTCGTCTAATTTCGATTTTCTAATTAAAATTCCGAAAAATTGAATTTGAAAGACTATAACACTCTCATTCCAAATATTAATAAAATTACCTCACCTTTTCATGCTTGTCTTGATCCGGGTAAGATAGGGTAGGATTAAAGGCACCAGTCACTGATCCAGGGTTCAAATAAAATTTGCCACCGAGTTCGAAGGCCTCGAATTTATGAGTGTTTCCAGTTATTAAGATATTTACCTCAAGTTGACGTTGAAGGGCCAATAGTGAATACTTATTATCTTTGCTTGGAACAGGAATTAGCTAAATTAAATTTTTCCCAATTGTTAATTATATTTTATAGCATTATAATTTGATTATCGTCCTTATTAACTTATTTTTTGGCGTTAGTAAGTTCGATATCTTATTCTAGAAATAGGCCCGATTCCTTCAAAAATATTAAACTGAGAATAAAGTAATATTTTTTAAGGAAAGTGGGAAAATACTAAGTGCTTGAAAGAAAAATATTTAGAAAACATCAGGAATACAAAATATATTATGAGAATTGGAGAAACTAAAAGGGGAAATGTTGGGACTACGATTTAATTTGTTTTAATTCATATTCATCAATTTTAGTGTATTCAAATCCGTTTTTAAAAACACCAAATTTTATATGACCAGAGATTTAATATAAAGACTTATAAATAATGCAGGTATTTAGCGTTTTTTAAATCAGATCGGGCCAATATTTTTAAAAACCCGCTTCGATTCGATATTTTTAGTTTTTACTATTTTATGATTTAATATTTTTTATTTTATTTTATTTATAACTTCATGATATATTAAAAGGAACTTAAATTCAATTTATTCATAATGTTTAAAAAAAATCGAATACTTGTAAAATATAGTCTAGCTAAAAATTTGTATTAACTTTTGTTTTATTATCTGCAACAAGAAAAGAGTTTAAACATATCAAACGAGTCACATTCAGCTTCGGTTGTTAAACAGTTTGGTTTGGCCAATTTTTAAAAACAACTAACCTCAAAACGGGAGGAGATAAATATACATGGTTTTCGGATCTTCCTTTTATTTAAATGATGCCAGTTCCTAACATTCTCTGTTCCGTTGCTTTCCTTCCAAACTAGCACTGAGGTAATGCCCAATTTCAAGTTTAACAACTTTAATAATGGCTCTAAGTGGTTTGATGTTATTATTATAAAGTAGGATTGCTTAACTGGGCATGTCCTATATTTTTCACAGAAATAATGCTTCCGCTAATTTTAAAACTATAGCATTGATTTTGTATAAATATTGTTCGGTGAAAATTTTGTGGATCGACACAGCCCTATATATTTAGTGATGGGAAATCGGATAGCGAACTCTGCTTAAGCCTCGAATTTAAAGCAAATATTTTCATCTCAGCCCCAAGGTTCGATACGAATTTTTGACTTTGTATTACATCATTACCGCATAACCTTTTTCGCGAAAGGTATTATAGCGAATGTCGATTACCGAGAATACATAACCTCCAAAACTTTATCGTGAATGCATTATAGAGAATATATTACTGAGAAAACAATATCGTAAATACATTATAACAAATGTATTACCGTTCGCGAATATATGACCGCTAGGGCTGTGTCGATATAAAAATGACCTGGTTTAAATTATATCGAAATTGGTAAAGGATAGGCTAAATTTATAATGCAAAATCATATTGGAATGTTAATAAACTTTAAAATATGTTATCAAGTAAAATTATTTAACTAAAGGGTGGTCAGTATCAACAAATGAAATAGGCCTATGTTTTGGATAGGGTTTTTTAAAAAAATTGCCGATCAGATCAAATTTTTGAATCAACGGTTCTAATGCCCTAAATTAATTTTTATTTATAAAAAGTTTTAATGTTATATCAACCAGAAGCTACTTTTAAAAATAGAGCGCTATAGCTACCGCTATTTTTTCAAAAAGGTAGCGCACAATTAGCGACTTTTTACGGTACTTTCGATTTTTTAAAAAATATTTTTTACGTCTCAATTTCCACAAATAAAAAATATTAGCATAAAAATACGACTTTAATTTTAAATATATATAATTTATTTATTTTTTATTGCAATAACATTTCTATACTGTCATATCCATCTAGAGCGAGGACCAGAAAGTATTTGCTGTACTAAGTATTTGAGTATTTTTAGATTTAAAAAAATGCGTCATGTAGCGCTCTAAAGCTATCGCTACTGAAAAAATGAAGCGCGCTAACACTGATATTGACAATATGTTAACGAATAAAATATTATCTATCACTATGGTGCCAATTATGAGATAGACATATTTATAACCAGCTCATTTTAATATTAGTCAGTGTTGTTAGTCGACTGTCAAAAACTGAGTCAAGTTTTGGGTCAAAAAAAATCGACCCAAACTGACTTGAATTATGAACTCGGGTCATGAACTCAAGTTTATAAAATATTCGTCCTTTAGTGTCGTCAACTTGAGGACGAATATTTCAGATTTATTATTATCAATTAAGATATTTGTTCTGTTTTTTACTTTAGACTTCTAACTTGAGTCGTGAATAAGAATTATAGAATTCGAGTCGAATAGTTCTATGTTTATGAAATTGAATAGACTAGAGGACGAAAATTTCAAATTAGTTATTATTAATTAAGATATTTGTTGTTTTTTATATTTTTTTACTTTAGACTTTTAACTTGAGTCGTGAATAAGTATTATATACTTGAGTCGACTAGAGGACAAATATTTCAGATTTATTATTTTACATTTTTTTACTTTAGACTTCTAACTTGAGTCGTAAATAAGAATTTATTCTTTTCTTTATATTATTTTTATAAATATATCTATATTTTAAGTTTATTATTAGAGGTGGTTTTTTCTAAATAATTTTTTTATAAATAATAGTGTTGTTAAACGGCTAAGCCGAGTCGACTTAGCTACGACTCGAGCCTAGTTTCTAGTCGATAAAACGGCTCACTTAGTGGGCTCGCTTAGTCGGCTCACTTAGTCGACTCAGAGGTTAGCTTGAGTTTAATTTAAATTTAGAGCCAAAATTTATTTATTTATTTTTAGTGAAATAATTTATTTTATTTATATTTAATGTTAATATTTTATTATTATCAAACAAAAATTTTTTTTTAATTTTATTTGAAATATGTTTTGATCTTATAATAAAAATGAATTTATTTATTTATTTGATTTTTTTAAATAAAAAAAAATTCATATTTTCGAGCTAAAAATTTTAAGCAAAAAATAATTTTTGAAATACAAAAATATTTTTGAAACATAATTTGTTGATTTTTTTCTAAATTTTTAAATTTTTTTTAAGAAATACTTTTGTTAATTTTATCATAAATAAATAATCTTTTAGGTAAAATCTTCTATAGTTTTTTTATATTATTTTTATAAATATATCTATATTTTAAGAATATATAAAAGAGCTGGTTTTTCTTTTTCTAAATATATCTATATTTTAAGTATATTAAAAGAGGTGGTTTTTCTAAATTATTTTTTTTATTAATATTTATGTCAAACTTTTTTTTAATGCGACAATTGTCATATGCGTTATTTTTTAAGATTTTTGGACACAAAAGGGTTATAATATAATTTATATTGTTAAGATATTATATTATAAATTCAATGAAGATGTTCACTGGAAAAATGATAATTATCATAATAGGTAGATATTTTTGAACATATAAGATTTTTTTGTGACGCTAATGGGCAAAAATATGTTTCTTTAACAGGTAAAATTTAATGTAGATGTACCCTAGATAAATGACAATTGTCATAATAGTTATTTTTAAAGTTTTTTAAATTTTTTTGACGTAAATAGGCTAAAATAAGTACTGCTAACATGTCTAAATAAAACTTCAGTGAAGATGTACCCTAGAAAAGTAACAATTGTCATAATCATTATTTTTAAAGTTTTTTTGACTTAAATAGGCTAAAATAAGTATTGCTAACATATCTAAATAAACCTTCAGTGAAGATGTACCCTAGATAAGTGACAATTGTCATAATCGTTTTTTTATAATTTTATTGATGCAAATCGATAAAAATTTAGATTTTAATCATGTTAATTTAAAAGCTCGCGTGTTGTTATTATGGCATTTATATATCAAATTGTTTAATTAATTAAAAAGTAAATGTTTAGCATGAATTATAATTTTATTCATATAAATAAAACTTATATTTATATATTCGTTTTGTTTAAATCAATTTATTTTATATTAACCTATTAAACAATTAATTTAAGAATGTATATAAATTGTTAAAATTTATTAGATAGTGAATGATAAAAGTTATATATTTAAAATAAAATTGTACCTTTATATTATCATCATCTTATGCCTATAGCCTTGCATACTTTTTCATGTATATTATCACATGTTTTATTTATAACTACAGGTAAATATATAAAAAACTCTAATATACCCTCTACTCGAACCCTATATTTTAAAAATAATTTAGCTTAAAATTTTTGTTTGAGATATCATTATTTTGTCAAATAATTTCATATATTTAATCCTTATAAAAAACAAAACGCTAATATTCTTCTGTATCTTCGAATTCATGAAAAATAAACATAGAAAACAGACTGAATTTACGCTAGAGTCAAGTTCATTTCATTACAAGATCATTTAGTTAAAATATCTATTTTATATCTTACGTCGATTCGATAAAACTATTTTATAAATTTTAAAAAAAATAAATAGGGACGCATTTTTTAACTATATATATTCTTTATTTATAAAAAAACATTCACTTTATATTAAATGTATAAATAAAATTTGCTAAAAAAATTATTTCCATAAATCTTCCTTTAAATTTAAAATATTAATGTCCCAATGAATTTAATGAAAGATATTCTTTCAGAGTTGACGATGACATTCTGTTTCTTTTGTTGGTATAAATATCGGCAGCCCTTCAAAACAATCTTTCACTCGCAACCGATGTTGTTTGTTGCCCTAAATAATCTCTCGCCATATTTGACAACCTAGGGAATCTCTTGGAATTTCCAGACCACCAACCAAGAACATCCACTGTTGTCTTAGCCACAGGATCCGCCAAATAATCCTCAATCTCGTCTAAAGCCGGATTTTGCTTAACACAGGCATCTCTAAATATTAAATATGAATGATTGTATAAAAATAATTAGAATTATATTTACCTTCTCAACTCATTCAATATATTTACCGACATCTTAGTAGAGTCGGGATCCTCATAATCATATTCTTGACTGGATGAAGCTTGATAATTATTAAATAAGTCTTTAAATCTTTCATAATATCCGGATGAATTCATAA